TATCTTATTAATAAACGTTGTCGGTACAATTATCAAGTACTCTTTTAAAATAGTACACTTATTATTTATTTAAAACAATTCATATTTATAATATTTTTCTGTATGTACACGGGCATGTATACACGCTTTAGAGCGAACTAAATGAGTTCTCAAAAAGATTTCGATCATTTCCCAATTTTTGCAGTCAAAATATTAATTTCTGGAGCGCCGAATATTCACTATCGCGATGGCTAGTCGCGCGAAGAGTGGGGATTGGTTGACAAGCGCTCCGCCGCCCGCGCCGCGCACACCACCGCTAGCCCCCAAACGTCATGACTTGAACGGCGCGCTTGCCAGGCCGTCCCGCAGCTTCCCGCGGCCCGCGCGCCCATCGCGGCGTTCTGTAGGCGTACATTCAATGTGTGGTAGTCCGAACGGACGCGCGTATTCGCCAATCTTTAAAAATTAATATCTCGTTAACTATTGCTGCAATCTCAAAATGGTACAGGACTTTTCGACTCAGTTCGGTCTACTCTACCTGCTCATGATAGGTGATTCGCTCGATTAATGACACCCTGTATATACAATACGCACGCACGCACACGACATTCTTATTATTTTTATTTTATACTCTTGTATATATGTATATAATTAATTAAAATTTATTTTAATTTACCTTTACATTCAATTGCCTATTTGTCATGTTCATTATATGTACTATGACGTGACGTTTTTCGTTCGTCACTTTGTCGAAAACTATAACTTGTGCGGATCCTGCCCTCTCCCGGCTCAGGGGAGGGCGAGCGTATTTGCGGGCGGGCGCTGTCGAGCGCCGTAAAGTTTTCAGAGAATTATTATATTTATTTTTTATTTTTATTGTAAGTTTCTCTTGCAAGCCATTTCGAGTAGCGATAGACGTGCGGATCGCCAGCCATATATTTGACTTGTATAGAGCTGTCTCACCCGATGACCGGAACCGAGGAGAAACCGAGGAGAAGACTGTGGGAAATGACGAGCCGGAGACTCACGGAAGCAGGGAAACGCAGGTCGTATAATTACTGTCATCTTTGTGTGCGTCCTCTATTTGTGCCCTCTCCATGCCGACCACTTTTGCAGAGGCCAGTGAGAGCATGCGAGATGTGGGGAGAATCTCCCGGAATTTAGATCCAGAAAGCCTGCGAGGGCGAAAACTACAACCGAGGAAAAGAGGCGGTGGCATACAGCGGCTCGGGCCCGGACGCACTGAAACCAAGCAATTTAACCGAAGAAACGGAATTAGAGAAAAGGAAACGGACGGCTATGCGACAGACTCAGATTTCGCGCCGAGCCGTACGAAGCCACGAGGTTGCCGCGGGCCCACGCGATTCGCGGGGCTGCGCGAGCAATTAGCGGCCAATGAGATGCGAGGATGACAGGACTCGATATTACGGCGCGGCCTGCATGCTCCCTGCCGAAACAACACTTGCGCGCCGTCCACGAGCGTAGACGTTGTGCCGAGAGAACATTGTAAGAAAGGCCATGATCTGAGCCACAAAAATCGAACGGATATCGAGGGCGTAGAGGTTATAGAAGGGACCAAGGAAAGCTGAGGAGATTCCGAAAGGATCGGTGAGACAAGCGTCGCTAATTGTGAGGCCGCTGATCCGTTGCGTCGCGATAGCGAGTGAGGCGTACGTGCCGCGAGCATACCGGTCGCATACCGCCCATAAAAGAGGCTACCGCGGATAACGATTGTTAGGATACCGCGTGCGGCTCGCTCGAATCGCCTGTAGAGTCACCGCGTGCTTGTGCGTAACACTCGCCGTCTTCCTGTCGCCACCAGGTCATCGCGTATGGTCTTTCGTAAGGTTGTAATTGTCCGTACTATTGCCTCTCAATAGAGCGAACAGTGTCGACGAGTCACATTTTTTGTACTTGCTAGAAAGAGAGCCCTTGTTGACTTATTTTTTTTTTTTTTGGTTACCGCGCATAGAAAGCTCGACGACACCCGCAACCGGTTATAGCATTCTGCTCATCTTTGATGTAATTGTATGCCGGATTTATAAGTGTTCGGTACTCGTCTTTAATTTCCCTTCCGCTACAACGACTGCTTACGAAATCGACCGAATTCACGGATCGTTCCGCTGCGCGATAGCGTACCGCGCAATCCTCTTCGATCAAGAGACCAGAAATCAATGGCCGTTCTAACGCAACGACACGTGCACCGTATCGTCTCGACATCCAACTTTGTTATCGCGTCGTCAGTCGTGTTACGACAGCAGTTTGTTTGTGAGTTTTGGCCTGCTCTCGAGGCATTCTTAATAAAGAGTATAAAAATCAGAGAAACAGTCGTTTTCTCGACCAAGCCCCTTCGACGTGGTTACCGCGGGAACGCTTGGGCAACGATAGTAAAGCCGCGCCATTACAATCTACAAGTAAGCGCAGCGCGATTGCTAACAAATTCTTGGTGCTTCGAGCCGGATGCTGTCGAGTATCTAGCCTAGTGCAGTGACGAGCGAGCAAAACCTGACAAGCCGCCAAGGCTTTCGTCGAGACGAGACAGCCGTCGTCTATCAGAGGCGGTACACGATGCCATTGACACAGCCGCAGTGCACGCGTTTTTAATCATAGAAAACGCAGCCCGGCTTTTCACGAAGCGGCCGCAGTGCATGCATCCAAGCATTACGATTGCAGCCCGGCTCATCGCTTCATATTGAGACGTGTCTCGACACAGCATCGACGGCACAACTGCGGCCGGAATCCTGCCACAACCGGAAGGCGAGGCCCAATCAGCGCAGCGGAAGGCATCACTCGACGACCCAGCGACCACGAGAGGATCGTCTACGTGCATCGATTTTCAACCTGAGGGTGTTCGACGTCATTTACGTCATCATAGCGTCGCAGGCGTAACAAGGTAAGGGAGATCATTTCTGCCGTTGCCAACCAATTTTCTTTCGTTTCCCGTGTAACGCGAGTGTTCATATTGTGATTGAGATGCCTGACCAATCAGAGAGCGCGATTCTCAGGCGACAGCGCGCGACCATAAAGTCGTCATGTACGCGCATTAAATCGTACGTGGATTCGATTGTAGTCGCTACCCCGTCAATAGTAGCTCAACTCGAAGAGCGTAAACTGAAACTCGAGCGACGGAATACTATATTGGACGGAATACAACGCGGTGCAATCGCGTCTAGAATTAATTGACGAATCCGAAGATGACGATCGCGGCATCTTTGAGGAGACGTTCTATGCGTTGTCCGCCAGGATCCGCGAGCTCACTCCCGGACCGTCGACACCGCGAGCGTCCATCTTTTCTCCTTCCTCCTTCAGTGTGCGGGATTCAGATCGCGAAACGCATGTTCGATTGCCAAAACTGAATTTACCGACGTTCGCGGGTAAATATGACGAATGGTTCCCGTTTTACGACACGTTCAACTCGGTTATCCACTCCAACGCCTCTCTCTCTAATGCACAGCGATTTCAATATCTACGGGCATCACTCTCTGGCGACGCGAGCGCTGTGATCAGTTCGCTAGAACTTTCGGACACCAATTACGAGGTCGCGTGGGCAATTCTCAAAGATCGTTACGACAATAAGTATATCATCGTTCAGACTCACGTCAAGGCCATAATGGATTTGCCGTCAATGGCAAAGGAAAACGCAGTCGATCTTAGAAAAATCTCTGATGGCGTCACGAAACATTTGTATGCCCTTCAGGCATTAAAACGTCCCACGACGCATTGGGATGACATTCTCATTCTGATTATAACCTCTAAATTAGATTCGATCACATTACGCTAATGGGAAATATCTTTAACAGGCAATGAGCTACCAACGTTGAAACAGCTGTTAGATTTTATCGCTCATCGCTGTCAGGTGCTTGAAGCCACCTAAAGGTCGAGCTCTGCTCTCGCAAGGAAGGCTGAGTCGAAATTGCAGCCAAACGCTAAACGATCACTTTCGTGCGCGGCTACCGTTAAAGTCAAGTGTCACTTTTGTCAAGGCGATCATGCCATCTACTATTGGAAAACTTTCGTAGCGCTCCCAGTTCCTCAGAGAGCCGTGGAAATTCGCAGCCGCAAGCTTTGCGTCAATTGTTTGCGGTCTTCTTCTCACGTGTCAAGCAAATGTACTTCCGGTCAATGCAAGGTCTGCCACGCAAAGCATCATACGCTTCTTCATGCATCTTCAGCCGCGGAGGCATCCACTGACAAGGAAGATGCAACCAAGCCAACCGCTTCCTCTTCGGTTCTGGCAATGCATTCTTCAAGCTCAATTGTCAGCGAACATGTTATGCTTTCGACTGCAGTTGTTCACGTCTGTGATAACGAAGGTACGCTCAGGCCGTGCCGAGCACTTCTGGACTGCGGATCGCAGGCGAATTTCATATCTAAGAAATTTGTAGAACTTCTCGGTTTAAAGACGCGTCCGTTAAATATCTCGATCTCCGGCGTCAATGGTACGATAGCTATATCTCATTACGTCGTGACGATTAAATTGCAATTGCGAGTTAGTTCCTACGCCGCGGTCATTGAATGCATCGTGTCTGATCAGGTCACTGACAAAATTCCTCCGATCTCTACAGAACGAGGCAAATTTGATTTTCCACGGAACATTCGTTTAGCCGATCCACGATTTCATATATCGTCGGATATTGATCTCTTAATCGGAGGTGAGATATTCTGGGATTTGATCTGCGTCGGTCAAATAAGGTCGTCAGACAAACATCCTACTCTTCAAAAAACACGATTGGGTTGGATTCTATCGGATCGTTTAGGCACTACCGCAGCAGTCCCTGCGAAGGTCCACTCATTTCATGCGTCTGTAACCAACTCTGAATTACACGATCATATCAGCCGCGCGTGGCAAATGGATAACATATCCATTCCCTCGAACAATTACACAATTGAAGAAAATATCTGTGAACGTCATTTTTTGGACAACACGTCCCAAGACTCTCAAGGCAGATATATAGTCAAGCTCCCGGTCAAGGAGCAGATGCTAGAGAAAATCGGTGATTCTCGTGAAACAGCTCTCAAACGTTTACGGGAGATTGAAAAACGGTTCAAGCGTAACCCCGCACTCAAAATTCGATACACGGAATTTATCGAAGAATATAAATCGTTGGGGCACATGCGACGGTTAGAACCACCCATTGCAAAAGAACCGACATCGTTTTATCTCCCTCATCATTGTGTATTCAAAGCAGTCGGACAAACGTCCAAGATCCGAGTCGTTTTCGATGCTTCTTGTCGTAGCAGTTCCGGCGTGTCCTTGAATGACGCACTTCTAGTGGGCCCAAACGTTCAGCGGGACTTAGTTTCGATTTTACTGCGATTCCGTTTCTTTTCTTGTGTCATCACAGCCGACATTACAAAGATATATCGGCAAATTTCAATGCATCCCTCTCAAACGCGCTTACAGAGAATTCTTTGGCGCAACGACTCTTCTATGAACGTCGATACCTATGAGCTCACTACCGTCACCTACGGCACAGCTTCCGCGTCATTTCTAGCCACTAGGTGCCTTAAGCACTTGGCAGATCAGCACACTCATCAATTTCCGCGTGGTTCAGCATGCGTCCTTCGCGACTTTTATGTCGATGACATGCTCACTGGAGCAGACTCCATTGACGAATTAAAGCTAATCCGCGACAAAACCATTCAACTATTAAGAGCAGGGATGTTCGAGTTAAACAAATGGGCTTCCAATTGCCCGGAGTTACTGGAAACAGATAAACGCGGCCGTAAGCCAGTCGCCATTACACATAATATTACAGACTTTTGTATTCTCGGCATGCAGTGGAATCATTGTCAAGACACGTTCCAATTCTCTTGCGAACCTGACTCTGAAATCGGCATTGTATCAAAACGGCTCATGCTTTCTAAAGTCTCAAAATACTTCGACCCACTCGGCCTGCTAGGACCAGTCATTGTGGTCGCAAAACTCATTTTGCAAGATCTGTGGCAATTAGATATTCAATGGGACGAATCCGTCCCTCAGGAGATTCACACGCGTTGGGTCACTTTCAAGACCCAAATGAAGGCGTTGAATCAATTAGCAATTCCTCGATGCGTTAAATCCAATATCTATCCGCTAGTTTTGGAGATACACGGATTTTGTGACGTCAGCCAGCGTGCATTCGGAGCTTGCATATATCTTCGCACCAAGCTCGGACACAACGAATATCGCTCTACTTTGCTATGCTCAAGGTCTCGCGTCGCCCCACTCAAGGCTATCTCGCTCCCGTGACTAGAATTGTCAGCTGCCTTGTTGTTAGCGCAGTTAATCGACAAGGTCAAAAACTCACTGGAGTTTTCGCAATAGCCTATTTATCTTTGGTCGGATTCGACCATAGCATTAAATTGGATATCTTCTCCGTCTCGGCGGTGGTTAACCTTTGTGGCGAATCGAGTAGGTGAGATTCAGCGTCTGACAGAGATCGAGCATTGGCGCCACATTGCATCTCCCACCAACCCTGCCGACATATTATCACGAGGACTAAATCCCTCTGATTTAGTCAATGCTGAGAGGTGGTGGAGCGGCCCCGAATTTTTGAAATGGGATGAATAGCACCGGCCGCCCAGTGTTTTCGTGCGTTTAGAAAGCGATCTTCCCGAACAAAAGGAGGTCCGAGTTGCCGTCTTCATCTCCCATCCATGTATTGTCAGGGACTTACTAAATAAGTATTCAAATTTAAATAAAATATACCGCATCATAGCGTACTACCTGAGATTTTCCAAAGCGCACCGCGCCTACGCAGTGTCTGACTTCGTGTCTCACGACGAAATTTCGATCGCTTTGAATTATATTTGTAGATCAATACAGCGTCAAACGTTTCACAGCTAATACCAAGCTTTAGTTAAGAACGGCATTGTACAAACTTCAAGTAGTATCCTATCATTATCTCTTTTCTTAGATAAGGACGGCCTAATGCGAGTTGGCGGTAGGTTGAAAAATTCGAGTCTTTCGTACGACGCATGCCATCAAGTGCTCTTGCCGTGCAAACATCTTTTAACTCAGCGCATCATAGAACGCGAACACACGCGAAATTTGCACGTAGGTTTACAAGCCACGATGGCTGCCGTCCGACAGCGCTTTTGGCCACTATCATTGCGATCCACCATTCGTGGAATAATACAAAAATGTATAATTTGCTTTAGAGCGAAACCCAGGTATTCAGAAGCAATAATGGGTTCGCTACCGGCCGATCGAGTCAACATTTCCAGGCCTTTCTCTCACTGCGGCGTCGACTATGCCGGGCCACTCTCGTTACGTGAGGGAAAGCGCCGCAACGCACGAATTCACAAGTCCTATGTCTCGCTTTTTGTGTGCTTCGCCACGAAGGCGGTCCATTTGGAATTAGTGAGTGATCTCACGTCCGAAGATTTCATTGCCGCTTTCAAGCGATTTATTTCTCGCAGGGGTAGACCCTCGCATATGTACTCAGATAATGGGACCACCTTCGTGGGTGCTCAAAGACAAATTCAAGAGCTGTACGACTTTTATGATCGTTTGCAAGTTCAATCCGAAATTGAATGTTTTTTACGAGACTTAGCAATTTCGTGGAGCTTTATCCCGCCTAACGCGCCCCACTTCGGGGGCTTGTGGGAGGCAGCCGTGAAATCTGCAAAATACCACATGGCTCGAATCGTAGGTAAAGCTAACTTAACCTTTGAGGAAATGCAAACAACGCTCTGCGAAATAGAAGCTATCCTCAATTCGCGTCCCATTACGCCGTTAAGTACAGACCCTAACGATTTAGCGTACCTTACCCCGGGACATTTTCTTATTGGCACGGCATTAAATGATCTTCCTTACTCCGATTTAACCAATGTTAATGAAAATAAGCTGTTAAGGTGGCAACGCGTAGAGCAAACTCGGCAGCATTTTTGGCGCGGGTGGAGCAACGAGTATCTTCACTCTCTTCAAGCGCGAACCAAATGGATGACCAATAAGGGAAGTCAGCTGTCAATTGATCAGCTAGTGCTCATAAAGCAACAAAATTTAGCTCCGCTTCAGTGGACAATGGGGCGGATTCAGAAAGTGCATCCCGGTCCAGACGGGATCATACGCGCCGCAACGGTGAAGACTGCCAAAGGTCTCTACGTGAGGCCACTTTCCAAGCTAGCGATCCTGCCGATCGAGGCCTAGTCAAGACTCGTCCATTCGTTTAGTTTAAGTTTACATGTTTAGCAGTTACCTATAGTTTATATCAAATCTCGATTCAATTTCCTTATATTTAGACTAAGATAACACATATATTGTATCTTTTGTTAATTCGCTTCCTTAATCTTAAGTCATGTCATTCTTTTATGCAATGCCTAATTGTAGCTGGATTGCAATAGAGCAACTCCAGCCTCTGTTGCGATGGCTAATTCATATGTTATTTTGAAAGCTAGTCCTTTCAAGGCGGGCGGCGTGTTCGGTACTCGTCTTTAATTTCCCTTCCGCTACAACGACTGCTTACGAAATCGACCGAATTCACGGATCGTTCCGCTGCGCGATAGCGTACCGCGCAATCCTCTTCGATCAAGAGACCAGAAATCAATGGCCGTTCTAACGCAACGACACGTGCACCGTATCGTCTCGACATCCAACTTTGTTATCGCGTCGTCAGTCGTGTTACGACAGCAGTTTGTTTGTGAGTCTTGGCCTGCACTTGAGGCTTTCTTAATAAAGACTATAAAAATCAGAGAAACAGTCGTTTTCTCGACCAAGCCCCTTCGACGTGGTTACCGCGGGAACGCTTGGGCATCGCTAGTAAAGCCGCGCCATTACAATCTACAAGTAAGCGCAGCACAATTGCTAACAATAAGGATAACGAAATACCTATTTGTATGCCGGATGTATAATAGTAACGAAACACATGTCATGTCAGCCTTTTATTAATTTCGCGGTGTCATTACTACGTTCTCTCTCTCGTTCCTCGAACCTTTTCCGCTCCCTCGAACCGCCCCCTCTACCAAAAATAGTGGCTGAGCTTGCCGGTTATCGCCGTCGCTATTAGGGTAAATTTCAGTACTATTAGAGTTTTGTCAGAGGTATTTAAAGTGTTCGGATTTCGGGCAAAGTATTGTAGAGTGTCGAGGAGTGACACGCTCTCTTGTGCCTGGCACCCATCTTTGAGTAATTGGAAAGTAGTGAGAGTAAGAAAAGCGACGAAGTTGCCCGTCACTCGCGAGTACGGTCGCAATACATATATAATAAATAATAAATGTCTAATGTAAGAAATTTAATTTTAAAATATAAAACCGTTTAAGTATTTCTTAACCCCTTCTCGTACTTTTCCTCACTTCCCGTTAACCTTATAAATCGCACAGGTCCACTCCCAGGTCATAGGGATTAAATTCCCTGACCTAAAATTAAAGGACCGACGATCGTGCAGCTCACAGAAAAGGCGTCATAGTGTCTCTTTCGGGATACTGACCCATTTTCCGGAGCATTTAAAGGTACGATCGACTCGCAGGACACTCCACGGTGTGTACCTGCGAGAACCCGAATTCTTTCGATTTCTTGATTTAAATGGATCAATTGTTGACTGTAGCGATCACTGTTAATTGTTTCATTCGGGTGAAGCATCTCAAAACATAGCACACTCTTCATATCCTACCAGATGCATAGCATAACTTTGCTGCTGTGGATTTTGCGTTTTGGCGTTGATGTAGTGGGTTGTCCTGGATCCAAATAATGTTTTCTCTTTTTAGGATTATCGTAAAGAATCCACTTTTTATCACCAATCACGATTTTCCACAAGAAAATTTTCTATGCTGTTTATTGTACGGATTCAAACACTTCTCAAGACGATTATTTTTGTTTTTTACACTTAATGCAAGCGGCACCCATTTTCCTTCCTTCAGAATCATTCCCATCTGCTGTAAACGAATTGAAATATCTTGTTGAGTTACTCTAAGTTGCTGTGCAAATTCTTTTTGTGTTTGACTTGAGTTTTGATCGAGTAATGCTTGCAACTGGTTATCTGTAACCTTTTGAGGAGCACCACTACGTTCTCTATCGCTAACATCAAAATCATCCTCTTTAAATCGTCTAAACCAAAACTCACACATACTTTTGGATACAACATTGTCTCCAAGAACAGAACAAATTGATTCATATGCTTTAGCAGAGTTTTTTTCTTGATGAAATTCGTATCGAACGCAGTATCGAATAAATTGTTTGTGGCTCACCATTTTAGAACCATTTAATTTTGAGGTTAAGTTTCCAATTGTGTAAAGTCAATCGTTTTTTTTAATAGTACACATTAAGCGCCACTACATATCAAAAGAGCGTGAAAATATTTGAATTCTAAGTTTAAATTATGCGTTACATAAAAAACGCTTTAAAATTTATTTGTATACTCAATATTGAAATTTTCAACCTATCACTAACTTATTTTAGTACTCATTATCACTGATAGATTATCGAAACGGTTGGAACGATCGAACAAGCAGAATAAGCCAAATGGAAGAGAGTTCGATGCTCATTGGTTGTCGCAAAATTGCAGAGACGCAAGTTTTGGATTTGGTCAAATCTTGCGATTGCTGCTTGCGACACATTACTACCGGGTGTAGGTACATTTTGCAACTATGCGATTGGCTGCTTGCAACTAATGTAGAACCGGCTTTATGTAAATTGGGCTTAAGACGCAGGACGCAAGTCGCAGGTCGCAATTCGCTGATAGTAAAAGCCATTCTACATAAGACGCAGATCGCAGGTCGCGAGTGAAACATATTTCAGTTTGAGATAGGTTGCAGACCGAAATATGAAAGACGCAGGACGCAAAAGTTGAAATTCATCCAATTTTCTGCGTCCTGCGTTCTGCGTCCAACAACCTATTATAACTAAAATATGTTAGGTTAGTTTCTAGTCTTGCGACCTGCGACCCGTGTTCTGCGTCTTATGTAGAATGGCCTTAATATTTTTGCATCTGCGTAAAGCCCATTCTATATAAGATGCAGAACGCGGTTCAAAAGTCACAATTCGCTGGTCGCAAGATTTTTGCGTCTGCGTAATCTACATCGATAAGCAGCGAGCATTGCGTGAAGCAATCTGAACAAATTATCATAAAATTAGGTGTAAAAATTAATTCTCGGCTCCTACCTTTCAGCGACCTCAGAACCCGTTTAAATTTAACTCCCCCTCCCCCTCTGTAATCATTGGGCGAGTTCAAGACGACAAAGCGGCTAGGTACGCTTGCCGAGCGATCGAGTATGATTGGTTGGATCTATAAGTAATAACCAATTATATTCAATCGCTCGGCAAGCATACCTAGCCGCTTTGCCGTCTTGAACTCGCCCATTTTAAGTGCCATCTTTTAGTTTTCTAATGAGGAACAATATTGATCCTCCTGTGAATATAGGGTGTCCCATTTTAATCGCCGCATCCAAATATCTCCTAAAATACGCCAGCTATAAAAATATGTTTCAAATAAAAATGGAATGGTGTCAAGGGAGACACATTTTAGTCATATTGTTTTTTTTCTAAGTGGAGGCGCTAAAAAGATATGAAGGTCACCTCCACTTTTTTAAATGGAATTATGTAATTTTTTTTAGATAACGTGATTCCTCTAACTATTTTGCATATAAAAGTATTTGGTAGAGATACCAAAAAACCAATAGTTTTCGAGATATTTTACGCTTTATTTTGGTACATTTTGACACAAAATGTTAAATAACTCGTAAACTGTTGACTTTTTAATTATCATACCTTAATACTTTTGTGAACAGAATAATGAGATAAATCAAATGGTGTAAAGAAAACACATAGTTGCGTATTTAAAAAATTATCCATTTTGCATACATTTTTTTTTTAAAGCAACTATGTGTTTTCTTTATACCATTTGATTTATCTTATTATTCTATTCACAAAAGTATTAAGGTACGATAATCAAAAAGTCAACAGTTTACGAGTTATTTAACATTTTGTGTCAAAATGTACATAGTTAGGGGAATCACGTTATCTAAAAAAAATTACATAATTCCATTTAAAAAAGTGGAGGTGACCTTCATATCTTTTTAGCGCCTCCACTTAGAAAAAAAACAATATGACTAAAATGTGTCCCCCTCGACACCATTCCATTTTTATTTGAAACATATTTTTATAGCTGGCGTATTTTAGGAGATATTTGGATGCGGCGATTAAAATGGGACACCCTGTATAACCTGAAAAATCAGCAGTAAAGCACGATGTCGTTTGAAAAGAAACATTTGAGGCAATGCTTTTTTTTCGTGTTTCAACTTTCAAAAAGCTGAGACAAAAGAAATGATGGTAAAAGCATGGTATAAACACAAGGGTATGCTCATCCGGTGGACGAATTTAGAAAGCCTTTGCGCATCACTCAGTTTACGTCACATTCGGCTACTTTCGGATGCTTTCGGAAGCTTTCGGACTCTGAGTGCCAATGAAGTATGGGCTGCCGTATTTATGATATTCGTTAAAGCGGTAAAGTAAGCAAGAGTTTTTATTAAAAATAATGGCTGTTTGTGCAGTAAAAGTCTGCAATAATTATTATCGAAAAACGGTAAGAATGAAAGGAGAGGAAATAAAATATTTCAGGTTTCCTAAAGACCCTGAAATTGCTGCAAAATGGATCGAAGTGTGCGAGGAAAATGTAAATTTAACGCATGGTAAGGTTGAAATATTGCATATTAACGCATAAACAAATTGATAGTGTAAATGTAAATAACTAATCTGGTTAGGTTAA